AGTCGTGTAATAAGCACTGCATAAGGTGTGTGGTGGAATTTCTCTATACATAGCCACCGCCACTGCATGTGTACACGGAAAACTCTCCAACTGAAACTGTCTACACGTGCACGTGTTATCATTGAAGTCGACGATGTATCCGAAATTACGTGCACATCTCACGGAGAATGGAAATTGATCCAGTGGTTCTATATATACCTTCCTCGTCACCTCTAAAGTTTTGAAGAGTTTATCTTCCTGAGCCGGGGTTAGCACACTTGTGCAACTCTGTGATTCCTCACGATGATCATGAAACCACTGTTGCAGCTTATCACGAATGTTCTCGAGCATTGCGATAATTGGTAACTCTCGATCCTTCTTGAATAAGGCATTGAGTGACTACGTATCGTTCGATGTCATCATGTTGTATCGACATCCTGAAAAATGTGATCGTGCCCAATGTTCGATCCACATCTTTGTCAGATACTCCGATGCATCATAGAATTCACTTTCTATTTCGATTATATACTTTTCAAACTCTTGAAAACTGTAAAACTCTGCAGCTCTCTTAAACAACGTAACGATGCTCTTGCCTCGATATTTGGTCTTCAGATTTCCTTGTATATAATACATACAATAACCATGATGTGCCTCGGAGAAGACTTCGACGATACTGTTAATTATTGACTGCCCTCGGTCGGTTACAAATGCAAAGTTCTTGACATCCCCAATTACTTCCCTCAACTTCGTGAAAAACCAACGCATCACCAGATCATTTTCTCCGTCGACAATGCTGAATGCAAGAGGGTAAATTTGGATGTTAGCATCTTGATATGTTGCAATAATTAACTTGCCCCCGTATCTTGCATTCAGGGTTGTACTGTTGACTAGGATTAGGGGTCGCATTGCATTTCGAAATCTTTGAACGCATTGTCCAAGGGCCATAAAGAAATACTTGAAGCGATTCTCGTCATCATTCTCAATAAAAAATGTCGATCCAATATTAATTCTTCCTATGTTATAGCAAAATCTGACCAATTTAAATAAACAATAATCATAATTTAAATAATTAAATAAAAATATTAAATTAACTTAAAAATTAACAATTGAATTAAATAATTAATTAGACATTAAATAAACAATCGATAAATAATTAAATAAACAATTGAAATTAATAATTGAATTAAATAATTAGTTAAACATTAAGTAAACAATTGATTAAATAATTAATTAAACAATAGAAATGAATAATTAACATTTGAAATAAATATTAAATAAACATCTAAAAAAAGAAATATCTAACCAATTTAGCATAACTCTCTCCTCAGTCGAACACATCAAGTCCTCCAACGTGCATTCTTTAGCCTTCCAAGCCTTCTGATAGCTCATGACCACCTCATACTCTCGACAAATGTCATTAATGATGTCCGAAGGTCCGTAGATTGTTCGTGGGTCCTGAAATTTGTGCATTACTTCTCGACCAATGAATCATGATCGGGTTTGTCTGTGATCATTTCGACGAATACCCACTTCGCAAGTATGTTCCCGTGCATACTTACGAACTACAAAGAACTCATTTGTGTCTATTTTCGTTGCTCGCAAAAGCGAAAGGCAACTGTTGTCAACGCAGACAATTGTGTAAGTCGAATTGTTTGATTTCTTCACTTTTAAACTCAAAATTGTGTTTTAAAGCAATCCAGTGAACAACTTCCTGCAAATCTTTCTTCGTGTCAAACAGTTGCTCGACATACAAATCTTCATCATCGGAGACTACACGCGAACAATTAGAGGACCGTGCACTTGGTCTAGCCTGCGAGCTCCCACTCGACTCATATCTCAGATGGGATAAAGCAATCAAATTCTCATTTGTAAAGTCATTATCTCTTTTGTTGTCTTAAAATACCGAGCAAATTCTGTGTGTAACAGTGAGATCATGGTGATGAGCAACTGTTTCTGGAATAACCAAAACATCATCACGCACTATCTCCACCGTGTCCCAAAACTCATTCACATTACGATCCCCTCCATCGAAATTTTCGTGTTCATTCTCGGGAACATTCTTCTTTATCAAAGTTACGCAAATAGAAATCGCACGTTTCTGGTTCGTTTCAATTAAAACCTTCATTTCAGTTTTAGAAGTAACCATTATAAGTGGAATTGAAATGGATGTATGTTCGCCCATGATAAATCTCAATTCCACGTTGTACTCACAGGGATCGACTTTCAGCAAATTCTTGTATCTCATTGTACATTTCTGCATATGATGTACTTGATGTTATCACAATTACAGTACAATCATGTCTTTCACTCGTCCATTTTCACACCCATCGATCATCTTCATTTTTTTCAAATTCACCAAAGTAACAAATCGAGACAACAGCTGATCCCATAGATGCATTAGGAAACATCATTTATTAAAAAAATTGTAATTACGAGAATAAAAAAACGAAAAAAATATGCTAGGCAAAACACACACACACACATAAAAAAAAATTAGACCCGGACTGTCTGGCTGGCTGTCTGTCCGACTTTTCCATTTTGCTAATTTTTACTGAACAAATAAAATTTTTTTCCTCGTTTTTGCTAAAAAAAATTATACATATGTTTAAAACTGTAATAATTTATTTTTCTAAAATTATATGCTTAAATAAGATTTAAAGATTCAAACAATGTACTAATTTAACTAAAATAAAATTAAAAATACGTATTTATACTTACCAATTTCGAGTGTCGGCTGTGAGTAATATTTTTTTATTGAGCTTTTGATAATTTTTTGAGATTTCCATGTTAATGCAAATGGAAGATGAAATTTCTTTTTAACTGTGATGGAGAATTTGATAAGGAAAATGATTTCGTTTTGAAATTTAAGTGGGAGTATTTGGATTTATTAATTTTTTGAAAGAGGATATTATTGTCTTTTGAACAAATGATATGTTTTTGTAATTATAAAACATAATAAGGGCAAAAATGATATTTACTTTTCAAAAGGTTCTTTTGGTGAATGACAAAAAAATTTTGGTCAATGTCACAAAGTGATCTTTTGAATAGATCCTTTTTAAAAGTACCCCAATGGAAGTGGTGGCTTGCTATTAAACAGAGTTTTTAAGGTAGTTTTTCTATTTCTTTTGAAACCAAACTAATAATGCATAAATAATGAGGCCCGTTTGATTTACAAAATTGATAAAAATTAAGTTTAAATCAACAATTAGTTTTAGGTAGAATGAAATTCACAATTTATATCAATTTTATTCATAATTTATTAAAAACACGATTTTCAACAAAACCAGACACATGCGGAGTTTTCAATCTTATTAGGAGTAAGCGGTAAATTGATAAACTTTTACTGTTTACCTCATTTGAGAAAGATTATGCCACATTCAACATATAATCGAGATTCAACATATAATCGAGATAAAATGTTTTCATTATAAGACTCTTGTAAATCATTGCTAATTTGTCATTGATAATACAAAGTCTATAAGAATAAAGCACTGAAAAAGTAGATGAATCTACAAACTAGTTTCATTTGTCTTGGCGCTAAAGAATGAACTCAATTCCGCTAAAAGTAGACTAATGACGCGTATAGTTGAGATAGAATGCTACATTGTTAGACTCGTACGTATTATTGTTAATTTGTCTCGTATATATTACTGTTAATTTGTCGTTGGTAGTTTAAAATCTATCATGAGAGCGCACTATAGAAGTGGATGGATATACAAACTTTATGTGTATGTTCGACAGTGTCTCAAAGTCATATATTTCTATAATACATAAAAATGTAGCACGTTTGAGAAGTACTTATAGATGATTAAAATTTATAAATAGTTAGAAAATTCATGATGAATAAGCGAGTCGTACTTATAGGTTTCTCAAATTTTATGAAGAAAAAGTGATCAAATTTTTATATACAATTGAGCAATGTTCTAAAATGCGCGTGACAATGCGATCAACACATTTCGTTGATTACATATGCATGCTTAAATGCATTTGTGCTAAAAAAAAAAAGTGTCAAAATTAGCCTAACAAAGCTCAACCCATTTTTATAATTAAAAATAAAAAAATAAATCGAGTCTAACAAACATTAAATTACTGAAATTATATTTCAATAACTTATACAAAATAGTCTACATTGTTAGACTCTTACAACTCTTTAATTTGCATTGATAGTTCAAGACCTATCAGAAATACTAGAGAATGGGACAAATCTACAAAATAGTTTTTTATCTGTCCTTATTAGCCAAAGAAATGGACAACTAAGCATCAGGCAGAGCAAGGAAACACGTAGGGACCTTGGCCTCCTTACAATCAAAGCAATTTAACTTTAAATGCATCTCCTACTTACCATCAAAATAACTTTCTTCACTTGTAACTTAACTAAGAAGAAATTAACTTCAATACATTCAAAATTAAAAATTTACTTACAAGTTACTTTTGAGCTCAATCAAACGATGTAGACCCCTCCAAGCCATTTTTCGCTAAAATTGAGGGTTAATTTGATAGGACTTTTGTTACTTTTAAACATGTTTAGATTATTTTTAGAAGCTCTTTGTTTAGTTATAAGAGTTTTTAGATAAAGTTAATCTAAAATTAATTCTTTAAAGAGCTTTCTGCTAGAAGTAGAAGAAGAAAAAGCAAAGATCCTGCTAAATGGGACCTAAGTTTAAACTGTAACAGGTAGATGAAGGCCCCGTTTGACTTTCACTACGTGTAATATTATTTTATGAAAGTTTGTGTGATTAAGAGAGAGAGAAACAGATTATAATATGAAATTTTGGGCATTTGAACACTCACGACGTCTTCTGATAAATCAAGTTGGATCAAAAGTTTTTGTGCACTTTTAAATAAGGCCAAGTCAAAAGATTGATTCCAGCACCCAAGTCAGGTCTACAAAATGACTTTTTCTTGCAAGACAATTTTTACATTAAAAAAAGAACATACAAACAAACGCTGACACATATATAATTACATATATTTATATAAAGATATATTCAACTATAAGGAAAAGACTTGGAACTGAGATGTATAAGGTAGGTGACTAAATAACCACCTTCCTCTGCATTTTTATATATAGGTTTGAGGAACATCAATCATGACCCCTTCCAACTGAACAGACTCGATGACTCTCGACAACCCTTTGATGTAGTATAGTCAAGGACCTTATATAGTCGAGTTGAGTAGTACTAAGTACAAAACGTGCGATCCTATATAGCTTGATATGAAGAGAGAAGATTCAATTTGAATAAGAGCAAGTGATTTCCGGAAAAATTAATGAACATAAAGCAAAAGCAGAAAGCATTACTTCTGTTCCACGATGTCTCAAAATAAAAAAATGCAACAGTTCACTCAATCTCTGCTGGAATTGGTACTAGACAAAACATGGAAACTGGAATATCTGCAAACTGAAGATAAAATTCAAAAGATGTATCCTAAAATCTGAATTGAATCTTGATCGACTGAATCAGTTTATAAATGCATCACTTCATGGTAAATGTGGATCAAGTTGGTGTCTCAATCATCGATCATTGGCTCCTGCCTAGTCTCGTACCACCATTGGTCAACCCCAACACCTTCCTTTTCGCCTTCAGCAATACTGATAGGTACGTTAAGATCAAAATCGCCGTCCATTGCCACAGGTTTATTGGTTTTGTTTTCGGTTAATCCACCGTAATGAACCCTCTTGTGACCACCCAAAGCCTGGCCAGATGAAAAGACCCTCAAGCATATTGAACATTCAAAACTTGCAATACCATTGCATTCAATCTTGGAGTTAGCTTCAGCAACAGATAGCGAGCAAATATCCACCTCGACTGAAGAGCTACTACCAACCATTTTTAAGTCAAACTTCTCGTCAAAATCTATTAACATTTTAGGATCACTGTGAGCATTTTCAGAAAGATACTTTCCAAACTCTGAATCATGGCCACCAACTAATGCTTTGTCACAACAACTAGATTTCAACAGACCATCAGAAATTTCCGAATTAACCTTCATCTCATTTCCACTAGAGAAACCTGAATTCAAATCATCAGAACAAGGCACATGCTTATCAGAACAAGCATTTCCAGAGCCAAGAATGCGAGAATCGAACTTTCCTACTAATTTACCCATCTTCCACACCTTATTGCCATCAAATGATGGATCTTCACCACCATTGACATCAATTCCTTTATCTTTACAAACTGATTCATCTCCAAAAAATGCAGAATCAAAACCAGATGATTCTGTACCTGATTTAGACCTATCCCAATTCTTCACACCCCTAGACAACATTATCAAACACAGAGCCACCTCTTCTACTTCCCCAAAATCAACTACACTAGAAGAGGGAGAAGGATCGATCTTACATATTATCCTAGAGCGCTTTTTTCGAAGGTCACACAAATTATCCAAGTCTGATGAACTCTCAGCAGATTCATCAGGGACTCTTCTTGATTTGTTGGAGTGACTCTTCATATGACCAAACAGAGCTCTCATTGAATCAAACCCTTTCCCACATTCCTTACAGTGATTCTGATTCGATGAGCTTTTCTTGATCGAATGACATCTCATATGACCAGACAGAGCTCTCAAAGAGGGAAACACTTTGCCACAGTCTTTACAAGTTCCATTCCTTGTCGTATCTCCATGTTTGGCATCAAAATTCCTGCAAGATTTCTTTGGGTTCTCCCTTAATTCGTAGCTAGCTTTCGGATCATCATCACCCATATTGCTCCCACAATTCTTGATCTTCTCTTGATCCAAATAAGTACTGTTTGATTGATTATTGGAGTATTGAAACCTACCCTCTTGATCATCGCGCCCATCTGAAACCATTTGGTAGTCGAATTTCACTTCAGCTGCTTCTTTTTTCATTGCTGAAATCAAGGCTGAATGAACCCTCATATGACCTCCCAATGACTTACCACTCCAGCAACCCTTGCCACATATTTTGCACACATGCCTCTGTTCTTGCACTGCTTCCATTGCTAAAGCAAAAAAACCCAGACGATCAAATTAAAAAAAAAAAAAAAAAAGTCAATTTTTCTAAAAATGATTATGCTGAATCCAATATCTCATTAAGAAAAAAAAAAAAAAGCCCAAGAATCCTATGAAACAGAGGATCGCTTGAAAATCAGATCAGGAAAAACCCCCATTATGGATTAGCAAGAACAAGATCTGGTAACTGAAAAGTTTGTAAAAAGGAACCTCCCATCAAGAGTGGTCTAGTCTCCATTAAACTCTTCATTTGCCCAAAGAAAATGAAATATCTAAATGAAGAGCTAAAGGACTGTTTGGCAGTGATATATGCTCCGATAAAACAGGACACATACTGAATTCTCTCTCTCTCTCTCACACACACACACACACACACACACGGACTCTTTCTCTCCCTCTCTCTCTCTCTAAAATCTTGAATCCTGATGGTGGCTTTGGCCTTTGGGCTTATGGTAGAAGAAAGGAAGCCTTGCATGGAAGCAAAGAAATGACACGCGGACTAGTCATCACAGCTTATTTTGCTCACTGGAAATGAGAAAGTAATTCCATGATTTGTATTTTATATAGACTTTTTGTGCTTGAAAAAGAGTATATTGACGTGGGAATTTAAAGATTTGCTCGATGGGGGCGAGTGATTGGTGGTAAAATACACGCTGGGGAGAGAGAGAGGGGGAATTGTTTTGGGCGTGTTCGTTTAACACTGGAGACAGCTGCCCTAACTATTCTTGATTCTTTGCTTTGTCATCGTGTGCCGTTGCTTAGATTAGGGTCGTCAAAATGTGTTGGATATTTTCGACTTTAATAGCGTAAATGTTAATAGTACGGGTCATGTTCTCGTCAATCAAGATAAACGTTTCTAACCTCAAAATCAGATTGTGCTTGGTAAACAATATTAGATAAAACTAAAAATATCGGTTGAATATTTAAATTTATCTTTTATATTATTGAATTTTGTTTAATGTTATCTTTTCATGTACGATTAAGTCTAATATCATGTTGTAGGAGGACTCGGAATTTCAATTTCTAGTACACAATCCCTTGATCAGTTAAACTCGAGTTCTTTTTCATGATATTTGTGTAAAAACTGTTGATTGATTGTGTATATTATGATTTTAATGGCGATTAGTTGAACTAGTTTATTATTTGGGAGATGGAGTAAATAATTCTTTTTTATAGTGATGATTGAGTTCTTGAATTGTGTTACAAGATTATGTGTAAATATTTTAAATTTATCTTGTATCTTGTGGAATTTTGTTTAATATTATCTTGTTGTGTACAATTAAGTCTAATATCATATTGTAGAAGGTTCGAAATTTCAATTTGTAGTACACACTCCCTCATGAAGTTATACTCGAGTTATTTTGGCATGACTTTTGGTGTAAAGACTATTGTTTGAATGTGTATAATATGATTTTTAACTATGATTAGTTGAACTACTTTATTATTCGAGAGATTTTGAGAATAAAAAATCTTACTCATATTCTCCTGATTCCGACAAGACTATGTTATTTCCTTTACTTGTATTGGACATCTGAATCCTCAGCTTTTTTAAATGTTCCAAACTCTACTTGAGCATCCCCTAAATAGCGAAAGTTTAGTAGTCGAAAGCGCCATTAGCTGACGCTTTGACTCGAATAGCATGGAATGTGTGGGCTCCAATTTAAATCAGCAAGAATCGGAGTAAATAAATCCTTAATTTACAGTGACGATTGAGTTATTGAATGGAGTTACATGATTATGTGTAAATATTTCAACATTCAAGATATCCCTTTATCTATGAATGGCAAGACATTGAGACTTTGATTATTATTATGGTTTTTTCCATTTAGTGGAAATTCACAAAGTGCTTGAATTGAGACGGGTTATATTAAAAATGGATATGCTAGCAACTAAAACCCTTCTCCAAATTAATGATTAAAAAAGGGAACAATTTACAAATACCCTCAAAAAGTTTATTAATTTCATACTTTTAAACCTTTTTTATTTATAATATATATATGCGCGCGTGTGTTAAATTTTGTAAAAATAATATTACATAAATTTCTCGCCCCGATTTTCATCAATACCGCTAACTTCACTTGTAATATGATGTTGCACATATTGTATCGTCTACTTTCACGGCAACTATCAACATCAGCACCTCCAATATTGTTGACCCCGGCACTTGTAATATTTATTGTTCTATCATCATTACTCATGCCCACAACATGTACAAGGCCGGCCTTAGCCCGCAAACAAGGCCACTGCCTTGGGCCTCATTATTTCAAAGGGCCTCAAAAAAACCCACCAAATCCCTAAAATATTAAGGGAAAATTAGATTACCTACGCTCCAAAATTAAAGAATTTGAATAATACCCTATTAGCTTATTAAACCGTTAATCACGTAATTAATACATTCTAACCCCCCAAACCCTAAAACACCCAAATCAAAACTCCCGATTCTCAATTCCAAAAAACTCCTAAACGGCCAGACCATTACAACAGAGAGAAATTTTCAACCATGCCACGACTACGCTCATCCTTACCCATTACAGATCTCAAATTCATTTATTTTTCTGAATTAAATGGATGTATAATTTATTTTGGGTCAGTTGCTTTGCAATTGGAAGAAGGAATGAGTTCAAAATCTTAGATTATAATTTTGGAAGTCTCATGAACGAGATATGTATATGAATGCTTTTGATTGTCAATCAAAATTCAGTTTTTTATGACTTAATTTAAAATTGGATTTTTTCTGTTAGTTTTTTTTTTATTTTTTTGGGGGTTGGGGGGTGAGGGGTGGGGGTTGTGATTGTAGAAATGCTATCCATTTCAAGTTTTCTTGCCATTAGTTGTGATTGAATTTTGAATTTTTCTTCAAGAATACTTATATTAGTTGTGTTTATTAAAGTTTTGAAGTTACGATGTGTGAGGGCTTCGAAAATGATATCTACTCTATGTGACATGACAGGATGGTGCCCTCAGTGATGCAGAGTTGAATGAGTTTCATGTTCCTTTTTTGTCGTGGATCTATTAATAATAAGTAATTTGTGTAGCTTTTTTTAAGTTTCGTCATTTTTTTGACTGTTTGTCACTTTTTTTAATCTATGTAGCTTTTTTTTTTTTTAATTTGTGTCATTTTTTAAATTCATCACTTTTTTAAATTTTTGTCACTTTTTTT